TTTTTTGGTACCGGGGATCGAACTCGGGTCCTTGCGCTTGCGCAGCAGGCGGCGAAACCACTGAGCTAAATCCCCGGCCCCATCCATGGTATCAAAAACAAAAACAAACAAACAAACAAAAAACAGGTCTTGATTTAGGATTTAGGATCTTGATTTGAATCCCAATTTTGCTAGAACTTTCTTGGTCACATAACGTAACAGCTATATGAGCTGTTTCTTCATCTGCAAAATGGAACTGTTAACTGAGTAGGCTGAATAATAAAGATAGTTAAGTTCCACCTTACTCCAGAAAGAATGGTCATCACCAAGAAATCAAATAACATGCTAGAGAGGCTGCAAGGAAAAACAAACCCTTCTATATTGTTGGTGGGAATGTAAACTAGTGCAAGCACTATGGAAATTAGCATGAAGATTCCTCAAAAAACTAATTCCAGCTGGCTGTGGTGGTGCATGCTTGTAATCCCAGCACTCAGGAGGCTGAGGCAGTAGGACTTCACGGCCAGCCTGAACTTACATAGCAAGACCCCAGCTCAAAAATCTAATACCTTCTAGGTATCTTTCCAAAAGAATTAAAGACATCATATTTCAGTGATAGATGTATACCCATGTTTATAACAGCACAACTCATAATGCCTGGGCTGGGGGTTTAGCTCAGTGATGCCGCCACCTGCCTCGGAATGCAAGATGCCGAGTTTGATCCCCGGCACCAAAAAAAACAATTCATAATGCCTGAATCTTGGAAGCAACCTACATGTCCATCAACAGATGAACTGGTAAAAGAAAATGTATCTATATACAATGCAGTACTACTCTGCTATAAAGAAGGACAATTTAAGTCATTTGTAGGAAAATGGATATACCTTGAGACCATAATTTTAAGTGAAATAAATCAGACACACAACTTATGTATCACATGGTTTATCTGATACAAGAAACCTAAAGTATAAATAAAGTGCAATAGGGACTGGGGATTTAGCTCAGTGGTTATGCTGGCTGCCTTGCAAGC